GCTCCCTGGAGATATGATTTCAACGACGTATCATACTTAAAAAGGTCTAGCAGTGAAAGTTACTGACATATAGGGTGTGCAAAATCGAGATTTTCCAAGTTCAGGATTTTTTTCTGTCGAAACTGTTCATTATTCGTCAAAACGGTTCACATGTCCCTATCTCAACTTTTCACTCACTATCAATTGGCGTTCAATTGCCATTTAATTGAAACAAATTGAAAATTTTGAATTTTTGACCACCTTGTATCATTATGCTATTATGTTCAAGGCTACTAGATTATAATTAGGAATTGAAAAGAAGTGCTTTCATAGTGGCAATAGGTCCATAGTTCGGTTTCATCGAACTGAAATGTATTATAAACCTTGGTAGTGAAGAAAATTATTACCTCGGGACCTCATACCCCTAGGCTAGTTAATCTTGGTCCCTGGGACACTAATGATATTTTATATACTACCTTGGTGTACAAAATAACTATTATTGACTATTTTTATGTTGGGTCTCTGGGCTATTTGTGATAGAACCTATTCCATATTGGAACACATTCCGAATATGGCCTTTTTGTCTCCCCAAGAGCGAATTTACATTCGTCATCGAACGAGCGGAATGTTGTGCAAATTCATTCAGATTCGATAGTTGATATTGAAAAAGTTTGTAATGGGCACAAAAAGTTGGGCGAACGCGATGAACACCGAACTCAATTGACAATATTCCCCTTCCAATTTCAATAAACCGCTTAGGGTAATGAACCCGAACGAGATTGTTTAACGCGGAAGGGCAAAAAGCAGTGGCACAACTCGAACTGTTTACGAGACAGGCGGAAATAGTCGTGTAAATTAACTCAGTCTACAAAATCACGTAAATTACATCACTTGAATATCGCCCAGAAAATGTTTGTTAAATCGATAGCTTATAGTCCAAGAGCGTGCAAATTTCAACCCTCATCTGATCACGAAATGATATAATATGTTCCAAAGGCATGTAAAAACATTGTATTTCATCGAACGACACCAGTGCCAATCACTATCCTGAGCAAAATGATAAAAAAAAATCGCTCTTTCCTGTGCGGTAATTCGCACTCAATTTCACGATTTGAAAACGAGATTTCAATTTTCCCATATGATACCAATTGCAAATGATAAGGGATAATGTCGAGTTTGCGAATATTCAAACGTGCCGTGATTCAAACTGATCTACATAAGTTTGGCGTCGGATTAGAATGACCCCCTGATATGTCCTGCCTGATGTAGAAGGCGACTAGAAGGACGCCAATAGGAGGAAAACGGGCTTAAACCATTGCTCGGTGCGATACCACCACATCAACCATAGGCACTGTGATATGGGTATACTCACCAGTGTTTCCTCCATTCCGCGCCAACCTCCGTTATCCTCAAGTAAAATTATCCGGAAGTAAAATACCACTACATTATAATTTCCGAGCGGGAGGTGCTAGAGCGGATTCATCATCGACTGAAAAAGTCATCAAGATAGACCTATGTAACATCCATGGTCTAAGTAGGAACATCAACGATGTCTATCGACATTTTCAGATTGAAATGCTAGACATATTGGCACTGACTGAGACACAGGTCAATTCATCTACCAATACGACCTATATAATCTTTCCTGGGTACGAACTCCACACATGCTTCAGGTTCAAGGAAGGTCTCTGCCTCTACTCAAAAACGAATCTCTTATTACATCTAGAAAACACTTTGGAACCAAATGAGTTTGATGTTATGTAGTTCAAACTCGATAGCCAGAAACAGACCAAATATCTTTGTGGTCTCTACTTATCATCAGATGGATCCATCCTTTGGAGATCTCTTTGATTTCTTGTTCCTGAAAATCGATCTAATTCAGCAGAACCATCCAGCAGCAGAAACCATCTTCACGGATGATTTCAATATACACAACACTGCTTGGATCGTTTACTAAATCAAAACGAATGAAGCTGGGCAACAAGCCGAAGCTTTCGCCATCACTCACGGCTTAGAGCAACTAATCAAGGAACCTTCACGAATTTCTGATGTCAAAAATCATTCAGCTTCTCACTAATAATTCAGCACCTTACACCATAGATGTACGAGCTCCACTTGACAATTATGATCACACACTCATTATAATATTAGTATAGATAAGTTACATTTAGATCTGAAATTTTGTTGTGCAATCATTAGCTTTATTTTTCATGCGCATATATGCAAGGGCATTAATATATAGTGCCTTTATGTAGGATGTCTCGAAACTCAAACGACAATGCTTGATATGTAGGTGATACTCGGTGATAGCCCTCGTGATTTCATAATTAGGTACTGAGATATGTACATACGGTCTTCAAGTGTTCAGTTGAAAACTGATCTATTCGCGGGAATCAATGTTACCAGGTGGCGCTCGGTTTTCATCTTTCCATGTCAAAGCCACGTCAAAACTGGGGGAAATTGTGTACTGTGTACGGATAGTGAGTGATGTTTTTAAATTTCTCGACATTAATTGTCAATATTCGATCGAAAACGCTAATAATGCCTGTTGTAGATGTTCTTTTGGCAGATATTTTGCTCTATTCAGATGGAAAAAGCCGACCAGTAGTGAATGGAGAAGCAGTTCTCCGTGCTAATCATGTGATTTTGTGTGAGGCAGAAGACTTCAACAAAAGGCACAATTTTGCACTTTGTCTACAAACTTCGGCGATGAAATCTTCCACACATGGAGTTAAATTGAAGTTGGGGTCCAGATGACTTCCTGTAGAACCATCGATTTGTATTTGTTCATGCAAAACAGGACAATCTGGGTATTGTAAACATGTTGTAGCTGTTCTTTTATATGTCAATTGATTTGCTCGTCATAATTAATTCGAATTGTTTGAATTATCTCCAATTTTTCTCCCGTTCACTGTTCACTAAGCTAATAAAAATGTGATAATGTAAAAAAATTAACCAACTCAACCATCATCACTACCAACAGTGCAAACACTTATTGACAAGTTTGACTACAGCTACAGCAAGCTGAATGCAATGTAGTCTATACACTTCATCCATAGACAACAGTTTGTTTTCCCCCAGTTTGAAGTTCGTATTATGTAACCTAGATGTCACCCACTTCGTGAATCTCGCGAATACAAACTCAGACTCCGCAGTTTTCTATATAATTACTCATAGCTCGACTGTATCACATGATTTATTGCGACTAATCAGGATTTGAAAAATTAGTAATCAAGCATCAAGAGTTGCAAAAATTCAGAATCTATATATCTCATTTCGAAATGAAAGGACCCCGCACGAAAACACGGGAACTTCGCTCTCGGTCGAACTGGCTGAAATTGAACTATGTTGTTGCAGGATGGCTCATTAGTAAAATATGTGAGTTTGAAAAGTTTTGTAGGTTTAGTTTGTGAGATGTAAGCCGACAAAGTTCGTGAAAACGTCGTATCGGGGTAAAATTGACAAAGAAAAAAACTGTTTTCTTTAGTATAAATGGAGCAAAATAAGCTAGAAAATGGATTGATCGTAACTCATGAACATGTCTAGTTATAATCATATAAATTTTAGTAACTCAGGGTGAGGCACGGTGAAAAAATTCATTTTTCGAAAAAAAAATTCGAGCACTATTCCAAAACTAACAGTTATATTTTGGTAGGACATTATAGTTTTAGTCTATATTGTAGGCTTCGAAAACGTATTTTGATTCTTGATAACTATCTCTGTTCAAAATATGAATTTTTAGAATTTTGTGTTATACCCCTTTTTGAAAGCAATTAACAGCTTGTTTTTGATCACTAAGAAAGGGATTGATTGATACTGCTGATTGAATGGAAGCTGAGGTAACTCACCAGCGAATTCAGTTGTTCAATATTGCCTTTCATTAAGATACAAGGTGTGTTAGATTTTGTTGAAGATCATTCAACATGTTTCAACAGTTCCATCAATTTGGATGTCATTTACCTCACGCCATTTTAAATATGTTGACTATCATATGCAGAAAATTTTTCAATTTTTTATGTTTTTATGTTCAATACATTTTCTAGATTATTCTGTCTTATTTATACAAAAAAACAGTTTTTTTCTTTGTCAATCCTACCCCGATACGACGTTTTTACGAACTTTGTCGGCTTACATCTCAGAAACTAAACATACAAAACTTCTCAAACTCACATATTTTTCTAATGAGCCATCCCACAACAACATGGTAAAATTTCAGCCAATTCGACCGAGAGCCAATTTCCCGTGTTTTCGTGCGGGGTCCTTTATGAACTGAGTAGTTTTTTGAATCCATTAAATGATGATATTATGCTATCATGAAATCTAAATCTCTGAACTACAGATAGTAAACACTAGAATATTGAAATTCAGCCTACGGATGAGCAACACATTTTGTGAATGCTCATAGAGGGCGCTAATTACTTAGATAAATTACATAATATATTCTTTGTCCATTCAATGATGATCAAAATAAGTGAAAAATCTGAAAACTCGTTCAATTTTACAAAAAAATTTACACATTTTCAAATTGTGCTGCTCTAACGCATTTGGCGTTATTTTCCTCTTGAAGAGATTCATGTTCCACTTAACATTTCAATAATTTGACAGTAGAGAAAAAGACATTGATCAATGATGACAATCACTAACAACGCCAAAAATAAAGTGAATTTCATTGCTAATGTTTGACCAAAGTTATACTGTATCTGCAACAATTTTATAAATCATGTTGTATTAAATCTTCATATTTTGGTGTTTACCAGCTTTGGTTCAGCGATTTTATATTCTTAAAGAATCACTCTGTATAGTCCCAGAATGAACAAGTATCGAATCAGGGCCTACTCTATATCGAATTGACTTGTGGCTCATTGAATGTTATGCTCACTGAACTGAATATTCTTCCTTTCTTGTCAGTGAATCAAGGCAGTTATGATAGTGAACAGGACTCGAGACTAAGAAGTTGGAAGTGGGAGCGTCCTGGCTGATTCGAGACGCTTGGCAACAGCGATAACTCTTTGTATACGTACCGTTTTCTCCATTGTATCGGATATCCTCGCCGTCCTCTCTGCGCCACATCACGTAAGGATCAGGATAACCTGTAGCTTTGCAAGTCAAGCTGACGTTCGACGACTCCAAAACCACCATATCCGAGCTGGTCTCTTTGTCGATTATACTGGGAGGAACTGAAATAAATATAGGACAAATGACTATACAATCACAGAGAGGAAGAAACTCGAAGTCTTTACCACATAAGTTCATAAAATAAACGAAAATGGTAAGTAACGAGAAAAAATAAAATACTTCAAGAGTGGGAACAGCTGCTCGACTGCTTTGAACGCTGTCATTGGTGATATCGTAAAATCACTGGACAACAACGAATTAGGCTTATTGATTCTGATAGACTATTCTCGTGCTTGTGATACTTTGAATCATGAAATTTTGTTATCAATTTCACATTACGTTGGCTTCAGTAATGAAGCTGTGAAATTTCTCGAGTCATATCTCTCTCATATAGAGCAACAAGTTGAAATAGATAACGATATTTCAGGTAGTTTAGTAGTACAACAGGGTGTACCACAAGGTAGTATTTTAGGCCCTCTTCTTTATACTCTTTATACATCTAACTTTCATCGTCATTTCTATCATTGTAACTACCATTTATATGCTAGAATGCAAATTTGAGGATCAATCATGTTCTATCAGAACTGGGATCATTATCTGTAAAACATCTCTTGAAGATAAATACTTCAAAGTCCTGTGCTGTTTTGTTTGAAGTCTGAGTCAGAAAATAGTAGCAAAGAACCAGTTGCAATTCTTTATTGGAAATGACCAATTGGATTTCAGTGAACCCCTTCCATTCACGACATGACCTTATTGCACAAACTGTATACACTAATGATGGCTTTTGTTGTGCTAGTTCCGAAAAATGAGCCAATAACACCGTCTCCAAGAAAGAACTGCCATTCCACTTCGCGGTTACGTAAATCCCTAAACAACCACTGATGAGATCGCAATTTTTTGAAATCAAATCACAGAATTAGACCCACAGATATTTGATTACTCCATAAGAATGATAGATATTTTCATCTATCTGAATTCGAACATAATTATTCCTGATGAAAAATGAAACATTCATTTCAAATCCAATGTATTGCATGACACTCATACCTAGACAGGAAGTAAAGTTTCCTACATTACAACTAATATTTCCATAGACTGTATGAACTCAGATTGAACGGAACATACATTGATTCTAAAACGGCTGAGATACAGGAATTGATAAACAATCAGAGAGGGAAATATTGGTTGGAGTAGTTTGATTATGAAAAATAGGAAGTCAGTCTACGTCAAGCGGAGAGCAAGAAAGGCTACCTGTGTCCATTGAAGATGGATCCTCTGATATCCAAATTGTAAGTACCAATATAATTATTTCATTCAATAAATACGTTTCTTTCACTTTTTCGAATACTATTTTTATTCCTTCTTTCATGTTCCACAATATAACAACAACCTTCTCAAAGCCGAGCGAGTAAGTAAATTGAGTCTATGGTGTAAGTACCCTCAAGGAGTATGCATATGCAACGCAGGTGTAACTCCTGTTGAAAACTTCGAATTCAACTTCGATCATTTTCTGATTTTGATATAATGTAATGTGATATCTTCTCAATATCAATTCGTCTTTTTTTCTGTCACAGAGATAAAATAGTGTACCATTACACGGGAAAAATATCAGATTTTAGTTCACGGTTTTTTGTCTCTTTCCGCTACGCTACGCTACGCTAATTTCCCTTGTATAATAAATACCTTTTTTTTTTGTTGAATTATTCCATTCAATTCCAACGACATGTTTGTGATTCGGCGCGGAAACTTAATTTCATGCCCGCGGACGCCCGACTCACAACTAACTTCCCGAAACACAAACAAATGCTTCTCCAACTCCCGACATGTTCTTGTACCCCGAAGTAATTCATATACATTCCGCGTCATTAGCTTGCTGCCCACGTGTTGACTTTGTTTACAGGTGGCATGCTAATATAGATGTAGCTGTAGCTGCACCGGAGAGAAAGTTTCTGCCTTGTAATATCGAGTTCAAGGAGTTGAGAATCTGGGGGATATACAGGGTTGTCCACTAGACCCTATTCAACTTCGATTACTCCCGAAAAAATATTTCACAACAGAGCTGAAATACGAGTAAAATAAACTTTTTGTTTATGTTCTGGCTCCCACGAAAAGGGATATCCTGTAATGTTCAGAGAACATCGTGAGAACCAAGGGAAATAAGGTAGGAATTGGTGTTCTTTTTGAATTTCTGGAGGTTATATGCCTCGGGGAACACCTCCCTTGGCAATGTGTTCCAGAGCCTTGCCGTTTGTTGGATGAACGAGTCTTTGGAAAGAGATGTTCTGCAGGTCTCCAAAGTGACCACGAAGGGGTGCGAAACCTCAACTCGACGGGTTAATCTCGCGGGGACTGCCAAGGGAGGAACAATTGTTGATATTTCAGAAGAGCATCGTCCATGAGAATATCTATAAAATAGAGCCAGGTCGCCAACTTTCCTACGGTGTTCCAGAGAAGTGAATGAGTTTGTGAGCGAGGCATCACCCACGAGACAAATTGCCCTTTTTTGGACAGAATCCAACAGTTTCAGGGTATGTTTGGGTGCTGCACTCCAAATATGGGAACAGAATTCCAGGGCAGGTCGGATCTGTGCCTTATAGATCATAAGCAGCTGACTGGAAGTGAAATAACTCCTGACTCGAAACAGAAAATCAAGTTTTTGGGATGCACTTTTAGCAATTGATCTCACGTGATTTTCCCACGTCTCGTCGATGCCTGCCTCGAATTCATCATACACGTGAAGCCTGATTTTTCGTGTTTGAAATATCAGCTGGATGAATCGAACAAAGGATGATTAGCAATTCGAAATAGTTTTACATCAGCTAAAGAGAAGTAATGACTGGAGATCTATGCTAAAAGTCCACTAGTTTCCGAGTTCAGTTTATTCTATCCACGTGAAATTTCAGAAAATTCCTGAATCAATACTGAATTTGTTTCAAAACAATTTATCGAATGGAAATACAGTTTCTCTTGAATCAACGAAATATTTCATTGAATCAACAAAATATTTCATTGAATTAACCAAATATTTCTTTGGATCAGCCAAATATTTCATTGAGTCAACTAAATGTTTGATTGGATCAATATCTCGTTATTTTGAATCGAACAAAATGATTGTTCGAGTCAATTCAATATATCTTCAAAAACAATTCATGGAGTTGCTTGATTGAATAAGATCCAGAGGATGCAAGACATATTCACTCAATTCGAACTTCAAATTCGCTCTGAAACAAGATATAGATTTACTCATTTCAAGATTATATTTTGTCGTGCATATATATATATATATATATATATATATGACACTTTTATTTGCTTGATTCAATTAAAATTTGTTCGATTGAACAATTCCTTTTTTTCCGTGCGGGATTTGCAACACCTTCAGGTTTGGTGAAACTGGTGGAGAAGGCTTATTTGTAGTAACTCGCTAGAAAAATACGAGCAGTTCTTTCTATAACTCCACTAGTGAATAATTCAGCTTTGCTATGTTTCTCGTGGTATCTGCTGTTTAGAGACATCGATATTCCATCGTAGCTGAAGTCCATTTAAGTGGAGAATCAAGTAGTCAGATCGATACTTTCAATACCGTCAATCCATGTAACTCCTCAAAACAGCCGACGGCCCTTCATGTCGAACTAGTACGTCACGAAAGGCAAGGCTTATTAGGATCATGAAGTATGCATGAATCATAAGCAGTCTGTTATGTTCCATGGTAAAAATGAAGATAATTATTTTTAGAAGGGAAGCCGCCTCGGTATCGATTGGTTATTATATAATTATCGTAGGGCTTTATATGCCAATACAATGCATCAACTGGATGATTACTCATACAGGCTGTCCCAGAATAAATCCCGGAAGTGATTCTGCAGATAAAATGAAAAAAATTGTTCTCATCAACAAGTATCCGAAAATGCTATAAGCGCCAACCTTGAAAGGGTTCTAGCGCCCTTACTAAAGCCCTTGAGGTTGGCACTTATATACAGATTCCTCCCATCATTAATGTTATCGATGATTATAGAATCATGAAATATGATACTTCAAGGTGATTCAAGCTTACAAATCTTCCGGTGATTCAACGTACAAGGAGGTGTTCTTGTTAAAATGTCCTGAAACAAACCGTTTTCGTGAATGTCCACGAAAATTTTAGCAAGTGAATAAGTTTGTGAAAACATTTAGTTGAGGAATGGGCTTATATCACAAAAAATTTTTATTTCATAATTCGATAGAACTCACCCAAACTAGCTCACCACCGCAAACCGTTTCTTGCTGTGAGCTCCCTAAGTTTTATAAAAAATTATTGAAATCCCCGATTTTTCGGACCTCTGAAAACGAGGCGATGATGTGACGTCAAAACCTCAATACTGAATCGAGACTATTCCAGACAGAGATGAATAATACATGACTTCTGACAGAGTGAATTAGCGCGAGATCACAGTTAAAAGAATTGATATATCAGTTGCCTCAGTCTCCGTCGGGAGTTTGGTATTTTCTTTTAACTATGGCGAGATGAGGTTTCTACGTCATAAGAGGGTCCGTTTGCAGAAGGTACTATTTTTTATGTCCAAAAATAAAACATTCCAGTTAATTTGTCGATCGAATTATGTCGTCAATCATTATTTATGTATAAAAGGATCATTATAAACATGTTTTGAGTTAAAAGTTCTACTAAGGTGTACACGCCCATTAGTGAGAGCAATTTCACACTGCTAGAACAATTTGTGGTACAGGGACATCGGTCTTCTGCATTATTTTTTTGCCTTTTCTTCATTCATCAAGTTGGGTGTTTCCTCTTGGTCTCGGTTACTCTACCGAATAATATAACTCCTCTGAAAACATGTTTTGATACGAACCAATATAAAAATCCTTCTTATTATAAGAAGTAGTTGAAATCAAACCAAAATCAATCCAGCCTAACGTTCTTGAGATGCCATGAGAATTATTCTGAAATATTTCCAATTACAGCGACAAAGATTAATGGTTAATGCATTAGCTGAATGCACTCCCTGAAATTGCTGACTGATCATTTTGTCTCTGGGGATAGTGCTGGGGTGTGGGTTTCTCACAAATGGAAGATAAATAAGAACCAAGTTTGACCCTGAATGTACTGAATAAGATTATTGTGATCCTGATCTTTTGTCATACTCTGTGAAACATGAAATGATATCAGTTTCATCGATACAGAATCCCTGGAATGATCTAGATTCTAGATAGTTATCCTGATATCCTCAGGTATAGACCTGTTTGCACAAGGATGATTTAATAAGGACCAATCACAATGCAAATACAACTTGTAGGTATATTACCGCGAAAGCGGTATAGCTGTTTTTCAATTCTGATTGATCTATCAGTGTTGGTGTTTTCAACGCTGTAACCTTAGATAGCAGATGAGTGAAGTCAATCACTGTGACATGAAAAAATTATAGCTGTAGATTTCTGAAAGACTCGCTAGTCTAGCAAAATACTATTCTGTTCTTGATATCATCTTGAGTCTTGGAATTCTGTCTTTCAGTATTAAATCAATTGTATTGCTGTGCAGCAATTTGCTTGGCAACACAATTTTGTAAACAACAAAACGACAGAATCATCTCGAATATTCTGAAAACCGTGATATTACTGTTGACTATTCCACTCTTGCTCTTGAGAACCAATCAGAATCGACCATTTTCACGGTCTCTTCTGTATTACAGCGATATTTTTCGTTCACTAAAAATTATCGGACTTGCTCTACCAATGCAGAAGCCAAATTGATCCATTAGTGACCAACCAACCTCGTTTTTCATCTATTTGGTATATATCGGTCAGACAGGTCGTACGTTTAATCAGCGCATTCAGGAACATAAGATGAATTTTATGAAAGAGAAAACAAATTCAACATACGCCAAACATATATTAGAAGAAACCCATAGTTTTGATGATAATTTCGAAATTCTGCACGTAGAAAATAAAGGACTGAAACTCAGTCATTTTGAATCATCAGAAATTAACAAACTCAAAAATTTCGACATTTTACTTAATGATCAATTAGACCTCAATAGTTCACCACTGTTGAATTTGTTTTCTTAGTGAGTAATAATATGTATTTGATATCAAGTCTTTCAAGTTAATCCGGTATACCGTAATTTAATGTAGATATTGTGCCTAATTTCCGAAAATGGAGGTTCATCGTACCTGTCCACAGGTAACTAATCCTTCAGGTTGGGAAAGTAAGATATATTAAAGTTAAGCAAGCCAACGTTAGTTTAGTTCATTGTGCCAGTATATCACCTGACGAAGCTACTGTGTTAGCGAAACATGTCGTGTGTTTGAGAATTTTGTGGAAATCTTATCGGTTTGTGAAGTCTTTACATGGAACAATTTCATGAGCGCAATTGAAGCAGCAAGCTGGAGTATGCCAAAATAGTATCACTTGTTGTATAACATATGATAATTATTACGAGTACTCACCTACAACTTGGAGGTATCCTTGCCTAGATCTCATGGGGTCAGTGTTGACTTGACACATGTACCATCCTCTGTCCACTTCTTGTACGTTCTTGATGTGGAGGTACCAAGATCGGTGATCATTGTATGACAGCGAAATTCTTGGGTTTTGTGTGATGACGTTGTGGTGGATTGAGAGGATTGTTTGGGTGTCTACTCGAACCCACGCAACCTGAAACAAAAGAGAGAAAAAAAAAACGTTAGGGAAACAGCAATCAAACTATTTATATTCTTTTTATGATTGGGATTCCTCTGTAGATTATTGCAACTCAGATGTTGACCCTCCTATAGGTCGTAACTTAGCTACTCGCTTGGCCTTTGGACGCGAGGTTTTGATCATTTCACCACCCAACCAGAACAAAATTCGACATTTATTGATTAAATGGAAAAACTGTCACCAAACATGGCTTTCTACTCTAAAAATTATTAAAAGTATCAATAATTATCATTTCATTCATTAGGAATGAAATAAACTAGAAATGGTTAAGTTTTGTAGTCATTTAAACTTTAAACCAATCGGCTTCTAGATTTCATGAAAAACGCTGTAGGCGGAGCCTAAGAGAGTGTGAGAATTTTAGTTCCAACTGCGCGATTTGTGGATTAGCCAATCAGCGCGCAGAGACTGCGAGAACGCGGTAGGCGGAGCCTAAGAGCTTTTCGCGTATAGGGATAAATATCGGCCAAATTGCCGCTAGCGACAGTTCCGATTCGATTCCGTTACCTATAAGGTTAGAGTTCAGATTCGACTCCGCTACCTATATGGTTGGTAGTGTTTTTAATAGTTCTGAGTGAACTACTAGTATTTGAGTTGCGACTCCACATCACTCCCATAGGGTTGGATGTGTACTATTATAAGAAGAATAGAAGAAGTAGAATAATAGAAGAAGATTATTCCAAAAGGAATATTACATAGAAGAAGCCGATTGATATTTGAGAAGATTATCCAAAAGGAATATTACATAGAAGAAGCCGATTGATATTTGAGAAGATTATTCCAAAGGGATAGAAATATTAGAAGAAAGCCGTTTGGTATTTCCGACGATTATTCCACAAGGGTGGATGAAGAAAAGAGGTCTACAGCCAGCTCTAGAATACGAACCAAAGTGGGTGACCAACCAAATTGGTTGGATTAGAATTCGTTGCTCTGATGAGAAAACTGTCCTAATGGGACAAAATTAAAGGTCATCATTCCCACCTACCGAATAAAGATCCTAGTCCTCATCCCTTATCTTATTGCAAGAAAGAAGAGCTCCAGTACGGTACCAAGGCTCCAAGACTAAGGACCTTTGTGGTTGAGCCTGGCCACATCCCTTGGTACCTCGTCGTAGCAACCACTGGCATTCCGGAATGCCTTCTGGTGCCGTCTAACTCTAGGGATACGTTAGTAGCCAGGAGGTGAAAGTATTGCACTTCCCTAGGGTGACGTTAAACGCCTTTAGTGTACCTGCGGGACACACGGTTCGCGTCGGGAATTAGGGCAGGATAACTTTAGGGACTCAGAGGCCTTCAGCCTTGATAGGGCTAGGCGATAGGGAACCCCCAGTACCCGGTGCAACGCCGACGTGGTGGTCTGGGCGGGTTTGACGGAAGCTTAGCAGCTCTAGTATTAAGATTAGCTATCTTCTAGGAAGTTAGGAATCTTAGGCAGGGGTAGTATTGTGGGAATTGTCCTGTGAGGTTAGGATTTACCTCACAGTCAGCTGTAAGGTGGGCTATAGTATCCTTTCCTTGTTTGTAGGAAAGTAGGGCCTATTCAGAACTATAAACTTTCGGGAGGATCGGACTGCTGTCAATTATTCCCTGAGTTTGGCTTTGTAGTCGTGGCAAAAATACCTAGCATTATTTTCGAGATAAAATAATGAACCCTGACAGCCCCAACAGTCCGATTTTATCTCAAAACGTGGATGAATGCTTGTCACATGGCAGGTTAACAAAGAAATATAATTTAATGGCTTGCCAAATGAAACACACACAAAACAACACTTGAAAAAAAGAGTACATACATTACAACATCTAGCATGGAGTTGACCAGCAGGATTGAAGTCGGGGGCGAATATTTTTGAATTGACATTGATGACTTGTATTAATAATAATGATGCCTTATCGACTCGAGTACTATTTATATTCGGAATCGATGCTAGGTTTGCAATTTTCCGCAATGGGAATGGCCATTACCTTTCGATATTGCTTACCTAGGTATTATCGCACGGTAAGCGGTTTTTGCAAATTCTACAGGAACTGACGTCTATGAACTCCGCTGACCTGATCGAAACTACACTGTACTAGATGTTTTTATTTGGAAAAGTTAATTTATAATCAAGGATCTTGAAAATGAACGCGAGTTTGAGTGATGTTATTCCATTGGCATTATTTGACAATTTGCTTGTTGACCAGATATCGCTCTATAGACCTCTTGAAACTGAAGAGGAAAAAAGCTACATATGAACAAACGGCTGATTTCCCGGTGTTTTCAGTGTAGGTATTAAACATTTATCTCATTTTTTACTGAAGATGTATTCATTATACAAACTCAATGTACATTCCTATCTCCAAGGCATTCGATCGAGTCTGGCACCACGGACTCCTCGCCAAGCTTCCATCTTATGGCTTGCCTCCCCAGTTATGTTCTCTGCTAGCTATAGGTCTCTTTATGAAGTGGTCGACGGAGTTTCATCTGACTCTCTTATCATAAATGCTGGTGTTCCGCAAGGATCAATTCTAGCACAAAAATTATTTCTACTTCATATCAACGATTTGTTGGAAGCAACTTCATGTCCAGTGCACAGCTTCGCGGATGATAGTACCCTCCATACCACCTCCTCTTCCAAGGCTCCAATACCAGCCAGGCAAATCAGAAACAAACGAGGGAGAAATGTTGATAACATAAATATGGGCTTGGCAACAATTCTCGAATGGGGATCCGATAACTTATTGAATTTCAATGCAAACAAAACATAAGCATGCTTTTTCTCTAGAAAAGCTGATCTCACTGTGCCCAACATAAGCTTGTCAGGAGTAACCATACCTTTGAAGACATCTATTTCGATGCTTGGTATCACTATCAGCAATAACCTTTCTTGGGAAAATCACGTGAGATCAATTGCTAAAAGTGCATCCCAAAAACTTGGTTTTCTGTTTTGGGCCAGGAGTTATTTCACTTCCAGTCAGCTGCTTATGATCTATAAGGCAGAGGTCCAATCTGTCCTGGAATACTGTTTCCATATTTGGAGTGCAGTACCCAAACATACCCTGAAACTGTTGGATTCTGTCCAAAAAAGGGCAATTCGTCTCGTGGGTGATGCCTCGCTCACAAACTCACTTACTTCTCTGGAACACCGTAGAAAAGTTGGCGATCTGGCTCTATTTTATAGGTATTTCCATGGACGATGCTCTTCTAAAATATCATCAATTGTTCCTCCCTTGGCAGTCCCCGCGAGATAAACCCGTAGAGTTGAGGCTTCGCACCCCTTCGTGGTCACTTTGGAGACCTGCAGAACATCTCTTTCCAAAGACTCGTTCATCCAACGAACAGCAAGGCAGAAATTCAAGAATGACACCAATTCCTACCTCATTCTTCTTGGTTCTCACGATGTTCTCTGAACATTACAGGATTTCCCTTTTCGTGGGAACCAGAACATATATATAAAAAAAATTCATCAGCTCGTATATTTAAGAGAATAATATTCACTAACATTCGACATCAACGAATTCTTCGTATATCAGTGAATAACGAAATAGCTCGATTTTATCCAGTTTCCTTCATCTCCTGTAAAATTTCTAATTCGGAGATAGGAGGTATTGTGTTTTCGATGTCGATATGCTCTTGGTGGGAATTTGTCAAAATTTTTCCTCCTTTCTATACATTTTGATATCATGTTCTTGCATTCCTTCAGAAATTATTCGAACGTATTTCACTAGATCACTGCATGCATTGCTAATAATGAGGAGTAACATTCAAAATATTCTTTTCACCAACTTTGACTGAGATTTACCACGATTCTCAGTGCAGCTCAATAGCTCAGTTGTATAACAATATTAGTCTGATGTAAGTGGTCTTAGGAACTTATTGAGACTATTTCTTTCCTCTCACCCCAACTGAGCTTGCTATTCATCTGGTGTTGTAGTGAGGAAAAGATGAGACTGAATTGATTCTAGTAATTCTGTGGTTCCGTGCTGAACATTGTGAGGTTATGTTTTCATTTTGTCATGCTTTCAGCTTTGAAGTTTCAGTCCACAGGTTAAATTCTTCGAATACTCACTACAATAATATTTCAATGCTCCTCGTTAATTTCCTCGGTCATTTTACATTTTGGTTGAATTATGGTGGGTTATGTTTTCTTTCATTGCCCTTCCTGACAGATAAAAACGTGTTCTTTTTATTCAATCGACAACTCAAATCCGTCTCACCTCCTTCTAAATTGATCTCAGTAGTGAGAATGTAACAAGGTAAAAAGAATATTGCTATTTTCAGTCTCAACAGTTGGCGTTACTAGAAGGTGGGCTCAATGTCGAAGTAAAAAATCCCACAATTCTGCCGGATAGCCTTGAAAGCCGTTAACGAGTTATTGTGAGACTTGAGCTGACTTGCGTTCATTACTCCCAACAGAAAAGATATCCTAGGAAAAAATCATAGGATAGGACACGAAAAGAAGATCTGGTGGACAATGAATAATGTTACCTCATTGGGATAGCGCAAATAATCTATGCGTATAAATGCAGGTTGTGAACCCTAGGGTATTTTTAGTTGACATAGAACAAACAGCTAGGCGAAGTGTTCGGTTTACAACTTCAGCTTATGGAATCCCAAAGGGTTGTTTATATATTTTGATAGGATCTGCGGAGAGAAGCAATTAGAAAATATTTTTTCTACGACATCTACTGAAAATGTCTATTTTCACACGCTCAAGTTTCGTGGTTTTAACTAAGAGTATTGCTATAGTTTATAAACAGGATGATGGGACTTCAACTGGAACAAATGCATTTTCTAGAAGTACAGGAAACAAAATTTTAGAAAAATGTGGAAACATGTCGATTGGGATTTTTTTTTCAAGAATTCTTTTGAAACAAAAATGACTTGTGCAACTTTTTCAAAGCGTTATTGGGATAGTTTCATTTGGAAACAGTTCGGTGACTTTGAAATGAGAAGAAGTAGACCTTCGAATTCAACCAAAA